GAGAAGCGCAAAAGAAAAATGCTGCGCGGATGCTTCAGCGACGATTGAGTACTTGAATACCAATATTCATGCAGCCATTGGTGAGACAATGCCGCAGACTTTGGAAAATGTACTGAAAAATTGGGTCGGCAGAATCGGCTACGTGGAGCTCAGCCATGGCTCTCATATGAATGACATTGTGTTTCATCATTAACCGGAAGGATCAAATAAAAAAAACCGTTTGGAAAAGAACTCTGCGTTTTCATTTTAACCATCGACTTAAAAATTAAACCAACAGATGGATCACCCCCCTTTACATGTTCTTAAATGACTTTTTTCTCAGAGGGTCTAACTTGAAAATGCTGCTTTCGTCCATCCGACCAAAGACAGCCAACCATGGACAGCTGTTTTACCCTTTTTTGACATCTCATCAACATAGACTAGGCTTGGTATCTGGGACAACGAATCAAAGCATAACAACTATTCTTTATCAAGGATATAAGGTCTATAGCGCTGTCTTTTTCGATAAGTTCTGACTTGTTTTTTATGAACTGATGACGATGTTGCGTGGGAAGTGGAAGTCAAAATAAACTGATCTCTTTATGCTTGTCTTCCAGATTACCTGCACGACGGAAGATCAGAATGAAACAGCACCTACAGTATTCATGGTCACGAAACACGATAATGGAACTTTGAATTTGTGGCAAATCACTTTCGCGGATAAAAGTAAATTTAGCCAAGTATTAAGTATCGGTCATAAGAGCAGAGCATCAGGTCATAGATTCAGAGTCAACGACATAACCTGTCATCCGGTTCTACCACTATTACTCACCACCAGCCATCATAACATCGTCGATCAAAAGTCTCAAGATCGCAGCAGAACTGTAAGTACTAACTTCCATGCAGTTCTGAAATTACCTAAAACTATGACTTATTATTCCAGGGTTTTTGTAGCGAATTGATCCTCTGGAAAGTCGACGCCGTAGGGCCGTTGTCCAAATCGGGAGGTATATGCGAACTAGCAAGAATCAGTTCACCAGAGCCGTCAGCTTTCAGCAATGTAGCTTGGATTCCAACTCTGCTACCCTCTAGCACCTTGGGGAACCTCTCTAATTCCCCTAGTGCTTGTTTTGTAGCTTCAGATGGTCAGTGTCTGAGAGTATATCAAGCAGTTATTGATGCCAGAACATTGTTGGCTGATATTTCTTTTAAAGAAAATAGAAAGCGTGAAGATAACGAAACTGACACTGCATCGGATCTGTCGTCTTTTAACCAAGAGAGTTTGTTGGAGAATATTAATATTGTTTCTCAACAAAGTACTTCGAGACCTGGTTGTATCATTCAATTAGAAACAATTTCTGAAGCGATACAGTGGCAGAATACAACTTTCTTGCATGTGTATCAAGAACAGCTTATCACAGGTTAGTATTTGTATTATAATTAGCTTTACAAGTGTAATACGATGCAAAGAAAGACTCGTTTTATCTATCTATGTTGAATCAAATGTTAATATCATTCAAAGATTGGTTCTTCTGTATTTCTTAGGTTTTAGAACAAAGAAATTTTTATTTATATTCTGGTAAGAATTCTTCATCGAGGTCATACCAATCTTTCATACAAATAAAACAAAACCTAACTATTGGAATATATTTTATTTCGACTCATTTACGATTTATTACAATTCCATTATTTTAAAACATTATTTCAGCTTCTTCTGATGGCATTGTATCCTGCTATGAGTATGCTGATGATATCAACTTTTGGTTTCAACCTTTGATCAATCTTATTCCTGCTACGATGCGGAACACAGTGGCAACAATTTTTACAACTAAAAAATAATGCGTTAATTTATCACCTAGCAGTTTTGTCTCTCATTCTTGTCTATTAATATTACATCACTATGCATTTGGGTTCATAAAGTGATTTTTTCATTTCATCTTTAACATTTTTAAATCCGAATACTGTTTAACATAAATTATTCAATAAAACAAATTCCAGTATTCTCGTTGGACATACTGAGCTGCTAGTTATGCTTCTATTACTATATTTACACTGCCTCTAGTTATGAAGTTATAGTAGTTACTAATTAATTTTGTTTTCTAAATGTGAAGCTAATACATGATTTTCAATTTTAATATGAATATGAGAACTAAATAACGTATACATTTAACCACTGTCGTTCTTCTGACGTAGACTTAATCTTAGCATATTTGTTTTGTATTTAAAATGATTCTCATACCAGTTATGTAGAATTTGTAATTCTGAAGATATGTTTTTATTTTCTGTAACCAAAATAGTTGAACAATAGAAAAAATGCAAAAGATAAAATTAAGTTTCAGAATCTTATATAATTCTACACAACGAAAAATTTAACATTCTCTTATGTAAGACAGTACAAAGTGCCACCTATTACCGATCAGAATCGACCACTGCGAAAGTGCAAACAGCAACCAGGTGTCTGTTGGAACTATGCATACAGATTGATAGACCTTATACTCTGAATAGAGTAGTGTTCCTTAGCTTTCGTTCGTTTCTTACCGAGACCAAGCCGACACCATGCAGAAGAGTTGCCAAATAGCATGAAACATCTGTCCATGGTTGGCCGCCTGTGGTCGAATGAACAAAAGCTATATTACTAGTTTATTCTCTCTTCACGCTTGCGAATCATATTCACAAAACCGTTATATCATATATGGAAAGGAAGTTTAGGTTCTAGTTGTTGTAAGTTCTCAAGTCGGCTTTCAGTATTCAAAGATGGCGACCAATATATTTTATTCCTGCTACAACAACTACGACGCAACACACAATCTTGGCCACTAAAATCGGAGAAAAATTTTGTGGTTTGGGTTCTTTTTATTGAAATTTTGCTTTACATACCTTCGATTAATTGTTGCATCTTGCAGTATCTTGTTTTAGTATTTCAATCACTTTATCGAGTGATATTCGGCTGTTCTTACATGAATTTCTGTAGCAATGGTGGTTTAACTTCATATGTCCTATGGAGACAGTTTGTTATAGTTAAACTGGAATTTTGATAATTTTTGCCATCAACATGCAAAATTGGGCTAAACGCTGTCAACAAGGAGTTATCAGTGTCAGCATAAATGTCAGTGCACCATGATGTTCAGCATATATTATTTGTACAGGATGTCGTTAGTTTTTATTAGTTGTACTTTAGGCCCGTATCGTCAGTCGTCCCTACAATTGAAGGGCGCCTTTATGGCCTCCTTGATTGTCATAGTTTTCTACTTCTCCGTGTCAGCGTTCTATTTTGAGGTTATGTCACAAACATCTATTTGCATCAAATTGTGCTTGGTTTTGAGTTATATCATGTTTTATCAGCCTGAAATTTCCTACAATTTAAAAGGAAAACAAATCTTCACAATAGGAGAGCGCTGACGCTGACACGGGACAAGTGTAATCTAGAAATTTTTGAAGGAGAGAAAGGAATATGACAATCAAGGAGGCCATAAACGCGCCCTACAATTGTAGGGTCGACTGACGATACGGGCATTAGTTTGATATCAGCAGAGTGCACTTTAAAAATATGCTAAAGATAAACGTTGCACTAAAATGTATTCAAATCTCTTTCACTCACCGTTAAAACAAACAAGCGCGCGTTGTTTTATTCGCGTGCTCCTATTGGTCAGCTGGCCACCGAAGCACCCGCGCAGGCAGAAGCCTAAATGCCAGGCCACTGTGGCTGCTATGAGGAGCATGAGGAAACTTTGTTCATCGGATTTTTGAACTGTCTAAGGCTAGCAGAACTGGGAACAACCTCATGTAGATTGTCCCACAATCTCGACAGCTTAGGGGCAAAGGAATGATCGTAACGGCTAGTTCTGGGTGTGTGAAGTCAGGGCGGTCTGTCTGGCAGGCACATCGCGAGGCACCATTATGGCGGAAAGCTCTGAGGAGAAAAGCCCATTGGCGTAGCAGTATAAGAGAGCTAGATCGCCGACGGCTTGCCGGTGCGAAAAGGTCCCGGACTGTCAGTGAGGGAAGAGTCATCGATAAGTCGGCCAGATCTCTTCGGAACAGCATCGACATTGGATAATGTAGTTGTGCCGGCAGCATCCTAAACATGTGAGCAATACTCGAGGCTAGATCTTATCTGTGCCTTGTACAGAGTTAGGAGGTAAGGCAAAATGAACTACTCAAAATGGAACATCTTGTATATTCTTACATTTTTTATTCCTTTTCCCATGGTTTTTTTCTGATATAAGGATTATGAGGGTTTGTACGATTGGTTTTTGAGTTACAAAAAACCCAGGGATATCTTTTTAATTATTTGACACATCGCGCCTGGGACTGGTAGCCACAAGTAGATGGAAGCGGTGATCGGGTGCTATTCTTTGTTTTTGACGCTGAGTATATGAGGTTTGGAATACATGAAAGCGATTTTGATTATATTAAGACTCTCATTTCTTCAATATCGTTTTTTCTCCTATTTTATATCTGGATGAGCCATCGAATCCGTATGCGAGTGCTTACTGATTTTTATTTTACAGGACAAAAAAGCACACCTTCCAACTTATCTGGCCACGATGCGATGGTAGACCTACAACTAACTTCAGTTTTTGAAGAGCCATTTTACATCGTTCTCTTAGATTGCACTGATCAAAACACCAATCATCCACATGTGGAAACTGGACAATCGCCTCACCGATTCCGAATGTACTTTGACAGGCAGTCAGATGTACGTACCCGATTGCAAACATTGTCCAAGACGAAAATGATATGTCAAGGAAAAATAGCATGGAGTCCTTTGCATTTGAAACCTTCCAAGCTGAGCCCTCACATTAATTTGACAGTTACCAGGGAGGTGAAGCAAATTCTTCCGCTACGGATGGTGTGTTTGAAATAGTTCACGCGGCCCCCGCAGCTGGGCATCTCAGCTCAGCTTCTATTTACCCGGCTTGTCTGGCGCCGTATTGCTTTGCTACAGCGTGTAGCGATGGGTTCATAAGGTTTGGACCGTGTCAGACAGGAGTCACCACGTCAAGGAGCTTAGCCATTACATGCTTGAGGAAGACGATGCCATAGTCAACACCGGGAAAGTTTGGACAGAATGGACTATGGTCAAAGAATCAGCCATAGAAATAGAAGGGCAAGTTTTGAATATAAGTGTGGCATATTCAGGAAGACTTGCTTGCGCGTATAAATATGGAAAAAGTTTCACGAGACCTAACAAGAATAATCAGATTCTAGGTTTATCAACTTGTGCGTCGCCATATATGAATGTGAATCAACTGGTGGATCTGAATGGGTTCTAGAAGACGTGATTCATCTGAAAAATATCCATTTGCCCAGAATAGATATCAACAAACACCTAGATTTGAGCTACTTTATACGATTCAAAGACTTTAAAGTGGAAACAAAGGCTCAATGAAGTGCTTCACTCCATATCAATGACGACAGGCAAACCCTAGCTACTGAACCAAGTATTAAACCTACTCTGCTAGCAGTTCCCAGTTTTACCACCTTGCAATCTTTAAGAAAATCTATATCTGAAAAGGGTAAATATATGTCCTTTGACCCAGAAAACACATTGTTCAACTGGACTGGTGTCAAATGAAGATGGGTCTCATATCCTTACAGTGGCCTGTGGTAGCAAAATAATGCTCTACCCACCTCTTTCAACCGATTTAGCTCAGGCTAACGTTAAAGCTATGAAGGAATCCTGGAATAACTACAGGCCAATCTTGAGAAGAAAAGCTAGTTCTTGGCACAACCTCTGTTTGTTGATGATTTCAAATGGATGACTTTGAGAAAGATCGAGCTACAGACTGCTGACGGGTTGCCAGCACTGCCAATGCAGATCAGTTGGGTAAGAGATGGCATATTGGTCGTTGGTATGGACTCAGAAATGCATGTCTACACTCAATGGAAACCACAAAACCCTAACATTCAACAGATTGACAGTACTGACAATGGCAGAGATGTGTATTTCCGTACATTGACTCAAGAAATCAGAGAAGCTAGCTGCAGTGCCAACACTTGGTCGAATTCAGTTCTGTGAATTTAGCGATCCTAGATCGGAAAAGAATAAAGAGCCTAATCTTGATTAACATGCCTGATTATGGCTTATTGAAGCTTCTAGGATTGCATGTCCAGTGTTGCCTCATATCATCCCAAACAATTAATGGAGTTGTTGAATTCTGGGAAAATCAGATGGGTGAAAGCGATCTTAGCCCATCTCGTAAAATGTATAGGAGGAAACCAGGAACCACCCGAAGAAGTACAAGGTTCGTATACTCTTCTAGAGGTTGGCCCAATAGATACTTTGCTTTTTTAAAAAAAACATTAACTTGATTAATTTTGATCCATGCTCATATTTGTGATAATGCGCCCCATGAAACATTCACCATTCTCTAGAAAAAATAAAATGAATTTGCGTAGTGCGTTTTTATAATTATGATACGTTCATTAATCGTAAAACAAACCATAATTAAATTGCCCGGTCTCTATATGACCCATGCACAACTAGGCGTACCAGAACGGAAAGGAGGGCACATTGAAAAACATTTTTCTTTCTATTTTCATTTAATTGTTTTATCCGTTTATATAGAGTCTTCACGATAATTTGGGTCTTTATATGGTTATGGAAAACTAGTAGGATTCCTTTTTTGAAACATTTGAGCAAATATTATACGAGATGCCTTTATAAGTTATACTTTAGTAGTTTGCAATACTTTGAGCACTACTTGAGATAATATCTGACAAATGTTTGAAATACTGCAAATTTTATATACCTGTTTTTTTGGGCCTACATATCCCTTAAAATTCATTTTTCTAGTCGAATCAATAGGTCAGGGAAGTTCTGAAATCGAGACAAACTGCAAATGGAAGCATACTTTTCAGATAAAACCATAATAGATACATTTTTTGTGGCGATCGTCAGGTAATCCTTGACCCCTTTATTACAGACAGAAAAATATTTAGTTTTGTTTTGTAGAATAACCGTCAAAAAACCAATTTAATCATTGGCCCCTTCTATAATTTGAAAGTATCACTGGATTTTGACAAACTTTTGGAAGGCATATCTAAAGGTACTAGTATTAGACCAAGAATCTATAACTCCCAAAAACTTGACTTGCCCTTCTTTTCGTTTCTGAAGATTTAGAACGCAATCAAAATTTTCTCAGAGGAGGCAAAATTCATAAATAAATCAAACTTTGTTTCTTGCTATATTTTTAAGACGTAGTTAAGAGTTTATTTGAAGGATTCAAAGATTGTTAAATCCGGCAAAAACTAGTTTTTCGAATGCTAATCATCCAATCATTTTTGTATAACTCCAAACACACGAGGAGTGCAATTCGAAACTATGTGGAGTGGATATATGCGTGGAAAAACCGAGAAACTGCTGATCTAGAAACGTCACAAAACTTATTTGATCAGGCTAACTACCCAAATGTGAACCCTGTTGTAAAATAGATTGTACAGAAGCATTTATATATTCTTTAGGGTGAATGCTAAGGCCAAATAAAAAAATATGTTAAACTTTTTCTGTCAAACTTCAAAGTTATACGTCTATTGAATTACTGGGAAAGGGATGAAACAGCTTCAAAATGAAAACTAATGGGTATCTCGGGTACATTACAATGGTTGATTGGTTATTGCAAAAAATCATTCATTTTCTAGTGAAAAGTGCATAAGAGTAAATATGAAATAGTAGCCAAAAGGTGAAGCCTTTTTCGACACATTAGATATACTCGTACAGGGTGAGTTTTTAGTATGTAATTGGACAATGTCTCCATTACTATAAAACATAATCAAATATGCTATTTATAAAAATTGTGGAATGCACCGCTCACTGTAGGATGATTCATACTGACATGACAACAGAAACAATTTCTTTTAAACGGAACACCGTATATATTTTAGTATATTCTAATATACGACTTCAAAGGAAGAACTAAATATTGGGACTTGATTCTAAATGAGTTTCGACCATTGAATTTGATTTCGATGGCGCCTTGTGACGATATACTTGATTAGCTATGATAATTTTGACACTGCCATGATAATTTGAATATACAAGATCAATATAATCAGATGTCAAAATTATCATAGCGAATCAAGTATATCGTCACAAGGCGCCGTCGAAATCAATTTCAACGGTCGAAACTCGTTTAGAATCAAGCCCCTGGTCGTGTGACGTTCTCTTTACCGTTTCCGATATCCCAAATCGAGGTTTGAATTTGAAACACACGTAACATATATAGTGCTTTAAAATAGATTTCAACTAACCCTAGTTATTTCTCATCTAATGTATATGGATTCAGCTTGTGGAGAACCCTGTACATGCATAATTTAATTTTTATAAAAAAATGTTCTCTCCATTTGATTTTTGGCGAGCTTGGGAAAAGAGGGGCAGCTGTTCCCCTTGCCCCCTCCTGGGTACGCCCTTGATGCACAGTATTAAATGTTTAAGTCGTTGAATTGTGGAGTCACATTTGAGTTAGTTAATCCAGACAAAAAATGGGATGCAAAACAAAAATAATGTAACATCTGAAAGTTACACATTTTTGTGCTCGAAAAAGGTCATAATTGGCGGTTTGATTTTCCCAGAGAAACATGGCGGATTAAAACGAACACTTTTTTTCAATTACAGGCTGGGCGAGAAGTAGAACCCTGTCTATGAGTTACACTGCTGGTAGCCCAGAACACAGAGCAAGTATTGGGGAGATAGCTCTAGATTATGATGAAATCAACAATATCCCACCGTTGCCTTTGTGGACATTACTCGCAGCTGATAAAGAGTCTTCTGGAGCACAGGAAGAAAAGAAGGATTACAATGAGCTCTTCGATAATAACGTTATAATGGAAGAGTCATTGGATAACCTTCTGGACGATTGTGAAGTTACCTGTAGGAGTGAACGTAGATCTTCAGAAAGAAATGTCAGCATAACACACTTTACTCCCAAGCAAGGTCGGGTGTTGTCTAGACTTTTGACACACATGCATCTACCTGGACTGTCAAGTTTGGATCAGATGCACCTTCTTGCTTTGGCTGACACCGTATCAACTTGCAACACGGATTTAGCTGAGCGGTTTGCTATAGACGCTGCAAAATCTGCAATGGTTAAAGAAAATTTGATGGGACAGACAGAAGAAATGATGACGGAGAATTTAGATGATTGTGGATTGAGATTTTTGCTGGCTATGAAGCACTATGGATACTTATTGAGATGCCTTCCACTGGCACAGAGGACGCAATTCCAGAAAAAGGGTGTTGGTAGCAACAACCTCGCTTGGGCTTTCCATTCTGAGAGTCAGGAAGAGCTGCTGAATCTTATTCCAAGTTACGCAAAAGGAAAACCGACTTGGCCTGGATTGCGAGAACTCGGTGTAGGTTGGTGGATTAGGAATCTGACACTTTTGAGACAATGTGTGCAAATACTGGCTAAAGCAGCTTATCAAGCTAACGAAGACCCGATGGACGCTGCTTTGTATTATCTAGCATTAAATAAAAAGAGCTTACTATGGGGATTATACAGATCTAAACGGGACGACAGAATGACATCGTTCTTTTCCAATAATTTTTCTGAAGATAGATGGCGTAAAGCAGCACTGAAGAATGCTTATGCTCTACTTGGAAAGCAGAGGTTCGAACATGCTGCAGCTTTCTTTTTACTCGCAGGAAACTTGAAAGATGCAGTGGAAATATGCTTGAACCGTTTGCAAGACATACAGTTGGCAATTATCATAGTTAGATTGTACAAAGGTGACAGCGAAGAACTGATGCAACTATTGTATAGAGAGATTCTTGGAAGGGATGAAAACGGAGAAAATCAAGACATAACTAAAGCACATCCGGATCCTTTCCTTAGATCGATGGCTCTGTGGAACTTGAAAGAATATCAGGCCTCGTTAGATACTCTTCTGATGGGAAATGTTGGTTCTCAACATCCAGCGCATGATGATGAGGCTAGAGAAACAAAGGAAACAGATCCAAATGTCTTCAACTTTTACGTATATCTCAGAACTCACCCGTTGTTAGTACGTCAGCATTTGGCAAGCTTTGGAAAGAAAAAAGTGTGGCTACCTAGTGGCAGGCAGATAGTCATTGAAGAATGGATCACTCCTTTGGAGAGACAGCTGTATTTCGCAACAGCTCATGGACATTTCAGAGCTGGGTGTCCAGCGTTAGCTTTGGAAGTGCTTTCGAAATTACCTTATGTCGTCGCGGATAAACTAAAACAAACATCAGGTAAGTGTTCCAGCTATTCTTGTTGATCCCTCAAGATTATTACGTGAAGAACCTATATAATGTCAAACAAAAGAAAACGACAAAATACCAACTTGCAGTCTGTCAGCTTGCTTTGTTGCTTGCAGAATGCCGAGATAGTCTTTAGAGTATGTTTCTCTGAGAAGATGTGAAAGAAAGAAATTGGTTGAGTAGGATGATCGCATCTCGATGATTATGTGTGTTGGTCTTCATGTGCAAAAAACTATTGATATTTTCTGCGACAAAACTATTACTGAATATTCTGCCATTGAAGTATACCTATTAGCTGTGCCTGATGGGTACTCATATTATGTTGTCCTTTCTGGAGAGTAGTACCTTTATTACATTTCATAAATATTCCCGTCTGTAGCATATTTTCTCATCTGTTACTTGTAATAGGTATACTTCACTTTCTTTCCTTTTCTCTCTCATTTATAAAATTCAGCAAATTTACATATGTAGTAATTTCCAGAATAATAAGAAAATTTCTAGTTTTGAATAGATCTCATGTAAGTGTACTTGAGACAACAAACCAATGGAACATTACGTCAGATCTAAACACTGACTGCTGGAGCATCATGACGTTTAGGCAACACGTACAGCTACAAAACGAGTTCACAACAAGCGTACA